CTAGCTCGCATGGAACACTCAAAGCACCTCCTTAAGTAACTGAATCTGTATCATATTTATGTCATTTTCATGCTACCCGTGACACTCAAGTTCACTAAATAGACGATTCACAAGATTTCCAGTCCACATCAGTTGAAAATTTAGCTTGCTACTAAACAGCAGCATTACACCTATTAGATAGCAAGTTGGAACCAGGACTTCCTTGGAAAAGCAAAGGAAGACGTTTCTGCAATACAATTTTAAACCAAGAAATTAACTGTATTTTACTTGAAAATACATCTTCTTTCAAATGAACTCTGCTTTTAAACTTGTTAAAAATGCTTTTTAGAAGGAACAAGTACAGTACCATACCCATGCTGTTAAGCTTACCATTAAATACATTTAAGAAATGCAGTGCTGTGTAGTGTGTCTCTAATAATCCAAACATTCCTGTGACTTACTAAAATCGTATTTGGATAACACCAATGAACCTGCTGAGAAAGCTTGGTTTAACCAGGTTTTTATACCTCACTTATGCTTATAGCACAAGGGAGAAATAAGCATCACAGTCAGAGAAAGATTTTCGTAATCACTGGTAAGTATGAAGCTGAATTACAAGCACACAAGTGGGACAGCTAGAAGATGTGACAAGCATTGTGTTTCTTTGGGAATCCAACGAAGGAAGGCACCAGAACTCCAGACACACTGCGAGCTGGAAAACAGAGATCTGCAAGACTATCACGGAACATGGTGACACAGCCAAGAGGAAAAAGGAATGAGGAGCATGGATTTCACCAGCACAAGAAGGAAGAGCCAAGACTCTGCAATTCAGAGTACTAACCGTGTCCATAAACAATAACAAGAGCTGTACTAGGCAGCTTAAAGTCGTTCAGGAGATGTAAACCAACGTGCCTGAGGACATAAAGCAGCCACTAACTACATGGTATTAAGAATGTATTTCCTTGATAGGCAACAAGCAACTTCAGAGCCGTCCACAACAGTGATTTTTTTTGTTTGTTTTCTTGGAAATATTAAGCAGTGGCATAGATATACTATGTGAGACACATAGGAGACTGGATACTCCCCTATGCATAGGGAACGCTACACTGGTACTCAGTACCAGGACAGACAGAAAGCTTTGTACAGTATGTGAAATAAGAGGTCTGAACGCTTCTGCGTGAAGAAACAAATTCTTTAAAACCACTAGTTACTTTTCATATTTGTCAGTCCACATGAGGAGGAAGTTCCTTTTTTAACTGCAGCTGAGACCAATGCAAACAAAACAGGTTCAAAGAAAAAACAAACAAAAAATCAAAACACAAATCAAGAAGTCCAGACTCATCAACTCCAGATCTTTCTCCAGACACATGAGCACCTTCAGAACAGCCCTGCTTCAGCCACAAAATACATTTTAAAGCCTGCAAGAAAAATTATTAATAAAAAAGTTCTTTTAAAAATAAAAGTTTTGCCAAACAAGGCAATTAATGCAGGTGTAAAGGCAACCTACAGAGTATGAATTACCCAGACATCCCAAGCATCTCCATCCTGCCACACCTCCTTCCACCCCAACTCGCCTCCTACAGCAGCCACGCGTATGAACTGCGGCGTCTTCAGATACAAGGAAAGGCCAAGAAATTTCATCTCAAGTTCTCCTGCGTAAACAAGATGCTCTGATTTTCAGCTCTCCCTTTGCCTGACATGTGGGAGCAGCCCTACTGTATTTTCTTACTCTTCTGAGCTGGGTAAGAGCCTTACTGCTTCCTCCCTTCAGGCCATCTTTAGGGGCTTGTTGGAGCAGGAATATGATTAACAACTCCCCATTCAAGCCTGGTATAGTGATTTTTAAATCCCTTTTTAAGCCATCAGCTGTTAACATACCTTTGTCACTGTTGCCCCTCAACTACTTACCCAAACATAACACACATTTAGGCACTTCTCCTGAGTTATGCCAAGTAGAGAGTTACTGGACAAGGCAACTGTTTTGATTTATTGCTTCTCAAAGTTACAGAGACTTTACAACTCAGTTATCACTACAACATCACGGGTGACATTTTTGTTTCTTTAAAAAAAAAAAAAAAAACAACCAACCAACAACCCACAAAAACCACTATGGCTAGTTTAAAAAACACCTTTAAAAGTCTAGAAGCAAATTCTGGCCTGATTTGTTCCTGACTTCCTACTGCCAGGGCAGCCTGTAAAGTTCCAAGGAGACTGCCAGAAACAAACTTCTCATAAGAAACCCTGAAGACCACATGGCTTTAGATCCCTCCTCGATAAAGCAGTTACCACAACGCTGCCCTGCACGTCCAGAGAAGAGGGAACAAGGCCTGGCACAGCACGATTCAGCTAAACCAGAACTTGAGAGCACAGGGTCTTGACAACCAAACACCTCCCAGCTTCAGCAGTCGTTTGTATTCGTGACTTCAGTACTAGTCACAAATGAAAACAGTTTTAAATCACTATAAAAGCTCTCTATAAATGTCAATAAAAACCAAAGAGATATCAGGAAATAAGCAGCAGAAGCTACTGGCACGCATTGGCTTCCACCTCACCTTGCTCCACAATATTTATTGCCTAACAAGTGTAACAAAACCTGCCAAGTCGCACCTTTTCAGTGCGCTGCAGAATGGACGTCCCGTCCCACTTTTCATACCGGCACCTAGGGATGCTCACAGCCACAATTACAGAAGGACGATGTCTCAGCAGACTGCCTTCTCACGGTTCCACAACAACTCAAAATGCTCCAAGTGCCAGCACGCAGAGGAAAGGACAGGAGTTCAGTGACAAGGGGACACGTCCCACCACATCTCCACAGAAGTCTATTTTGGCACTGGCAGAGAGGTTACACGGTTCTGTGGCTGTGCGAGGGTCCTACAAGGTCCGCAATGTTTTAGGGACGTCAGAAGGTTGAATGGCACAAGCTAGAAGATGCAAATGCTGTCAGGTTATTTCTGACCAAAACCAATTTCTGACGAAAACCAATTTACAAGAAGCACAGCTATTTACAAGTAAATGGAAAACAACTTAATTTTACAGTTTTTTTTGGTTTAGCTATATTATGCTCATCTGGAAAAAGATGAAAATATGGTTACTGGTCCATTACTAAGTTAGAAAAGTTGTGGGGAACAGTATAGGATACATACACCCATCTGTAATCTGTTTACGTAGATGTGTGAAAACCCAAGACAAAACTTGCTGAGATAACAAAAATACCTTAATTTAATTTCTAATACAGCAGCACAATCCCTGCGTAAAAACATTAAGTTCATCTAAGAATTTGAGCTTAAGTATCTTCTTTGTTCAGGTAGCTCCCGCATGCTCCCTGAGATACAGGCAAGCAGACAGTAAGCTAGCAAAATATTAGGAGTTGCAAGTTTCAGCTGGCCAGGAACGACTCATGCCAGACGGTGACAGATCTGTTCGGATGAGAACATCTGCTGCTACTGTTGAGGATACCAGGAATACCTAGACCAAATCTATCCTATAAAAGGCTCATAAAAGGATTTATACTACAACTTAGGCTAAACTTACTGGTGCAAGCATGGTTTATTCTGCTAAAAACACTCTTATACCACCATAATTCACACTAGGCTCTCCAACTAAATAAATTAAACCAGGGCAATAGAATTGCATCTACATTACAGCAAGTGCCAGGACAAAAAGTGCTAAAAAAAAAAAAAAAAAGTGCAGGCTTCTGGCTGATTTGTTACAGAAGAGAAAATCAAGAGCTAACCTGGCTCGAATTTAACTTCTCTGGGATGCACAGCAACATCACTTTGGGCCAAACCACACTTTGTCCTATGGCAGTCTCTTCCTGAGGAATCCTCCTTTTCTCAGGCTCAGGAACATACCACAAGATGTTAGAGATATACAGGAAGACTTCTGTGTTTTGTAAATGACAGGATTTGCTCCGGGGGCGCGCAGAGGGATTAGATAAACCTGTACACACAAGGCAATTCTGTAGGAATTCACACAACCACCCCAGACCTCACTGCCCTCAGAGAGCTATGAGCTCTCTTGAGGCAACTGGCATTAAGCAGTTGAGGCAAGACCTCAAGAATCAAACTACCACAAAAATTAGAAGTCTTACTGTTCCCACAGACTGAAAATTTATTCATGAAATGGGCATTCTTTTTTTTTTTTTTCCCCCTATACTTGCAGAAGGTAGCCTATGGACAAGAAAGGCAGATGGGACCCACGACACCGTAACACTTCCATGTGTTTCTGCGTCCCCTTCACGTCTTTCAACCTCTCCCCGCTGAAGCTGCCATTTTTGAGCCGCATGGATAATCCAGTTGCCAAATAACTAGAGGGAAGCCACACCACTATAATTTACAAGTGTCCTACTCACAACCAGTCAGCCAAACAGCTTCCATGCAAAACTAAAAAGCAGGTAACGCTCCTCTCTCTGTGGCTGCAGAAATCCTTCAGCACACAGACTCTGCTCACACCCAACCACCCCCTCAGAAAGTCCATGCCTACTTATTTTCCTACTCACACCCTAAACTAAGCATTCATGCAAACCCTACACAGCTTCTGAACTCACCCACCAACTTGCCCACAGCCACAATACATAATGACACAGCCAGATACAAAAAACATCACGCCAACTCATACTTCCACTTCTTCACTGCCAAGCATAAGTTTTACATATCTACTCATTTTTCTTCCAAGTTTTACTTCTGAAATTAGTTAATGGATTTTTCTGAGCTTTCTATTGGAATTTTTCAAATGAGAGTGACCCAAATCAATAGGCATTTGGAGAACATTAACAGTCTCTGGTACTAGAGCACGCTTTGGAGTCATCTACCCTTAAAATACAAGGACATAAAATTCTTGAGTCTCCTGCAATATCTTTATATAGAAACCTAAGCTGATCATTTTATTTGAAAAACCAACACTCAAAATAAACAGGACTTACATAGACTAGGTACAGGCTGGAGATTAATTTTATCTCCAAAAAGAGCCACTGAAACATTGCTTTTGGCTGGGAGCATAACGCTCCAACATTGGCAACCTACCTGACCAATTCTACCCAACGTGAAGACCAGCTGGACTAAGAGATAGATCCTGGAGTGATAAAAAGAAGAGAGATAGGCAGCATGTAAAAATCAGGCTCTGCAAAGGTAATACAAATGTGTTTCTTAACGTGCCATACAAGAACTAGGTGCATGTATTTTTGGTTCTTTACATCTTGCAAGCCTGAGGAGAACAGATGAGTAAGCTTTAAAAAAAAAAAAACCAACCCAAAAACCTAACTTAATCATATTTATATATTAATGCATGCAACCTACTTTCACACATAGCTAATGAGTTCTTTCATGGGATTTGAACCTGAACAATTCTGAGTTTAAAAAAACCACAACTCTAATGACTACAGGTTTTGTTGCTAATGTAGTTATGTCTGGCGCTGTTACTCCTCACACATGCTTAGCTCATGTTTCCCCAGTACATTTTTCAGAGATGAACAAAATGCAATAGTTAAAGATGAAATTCTGTGAAAAGGTACTTCCCCGTAGAACAATATCTTTTAATTAAGCAGTCTTTTTCACAGTAAAAAATTGCACATTTCCTGTAAACTCATCTTGCTGTTACAGCAGAACAGCAGTTTTTCCAAGAATATGACCTCTTTCCACCTAGAGCAACCCTTCCGAACCTTAATTTTGGATATGGCGTACGGTCATCTGAAATACGATGACGAACAACCTAAAAAGCATTCAGGCGTTTTGAAGAGTATCAGATCAATGGCTCATTTCAATTTCACGTCTTTGATATGTCTTTCACCACAGTCTTCTTCTCAAGATAAGCAGTGAAAAAAATTATTAGTAGTACATTGGCTCCGTGGTGTCTTTTTTGCAAATTCTTGCTGATCCTCCTTCTCTGTGAATTTTATTTCATTTTATATTTCAGCTCTGCTAGCTCAACCAGTGCAGAGAACTGTTTCTTTAAGTCTGTCCACGATCAACACCCATTTAAATGTTAATCACCAACTTCATAGTCTATTTATTTTTAGTTTATTTTTGCACTTGAGAATATCAAAGTTGCACTACAGCGGTCACCCAGAAATACCACATTGCTTAAAAGCAGATGATAATATGATACTGAAGCAGGTTGCATTTTTTTTCTTTGGAGAGTAGCATACAGACTCCCCATCCCCACTTAGCGCAAATACGCAGATTTTATGACAACTTCACAGGAAGCTACAACTGGAAGGAATGCCCAACCATAACAAAAAGTCTGCTACAGACTTATAATAATCCTGCGTTTAAGTAATACTGAAAGGTCTGCTCCTACTTCACAGGCTAAACCAAAATTAACATCTTTATTACCTGCAAATGATAGGACTTCAAAATAAAAACCCTTCAGAATTAACTGCTTGGATGTTTCTTTTACCCTCTCTGATACGCACTGTAAAAATCTTATGGCGGGTACATTGTTTTTACTTGATCTCATCGGACTCATCGCCACCGAGTGCAATGGAGAAGTTCAAACCGCTGTCAATGGCTGCAGCAGGACCTTTCATGACATGGGTTCCAGTGAAAACATAGTCCAGAATAAACTGTTTGCCGGGCCACCCCAGAACCCATGACTGTGCTAATGCAGCTCGCCCTCCCCAGCACGCACAGTCAAGCTGCATAGTTTTGACTGCACATGCTGCTGACACCCGCTGCCAAGAGCGGCCGGCTCTCCTGGCACGGCTGGGCTTCCATACCTCTGGCAATTTCCGAGTTATGTTCTTAGATACTGTACAGGCACAAGGGAACAAGAGATGGGGAGACAAACCCATGTGGGTTTTTAGTTTAAAAACTGATGTGCTTCAGAATCCATAACCACCATCTGAAGCCCCTTCTTGCTAAAAGACATTAAGAAGACAAAAACGGATCCTGAAGCGCTGACTCGGTGCAGCCGGCGGTCACAAACCCCAGCGTGTACGAAGGCAGCGGCGGGCGCGCTGCACCAGTGCGCGGCTCCCGAAGCCCCGCAGAGATGCTGCCCCTTGGCCCAACGCCTCCCTTGCGATCGCTGAAAGTTTATTTTTGCTGGGTCGCTTGTTTACGCCAGGCACTTGGTAGCACTTTTGTCCGGGGCATTCCCCACCCCACCCCCCAGTGGGTTAAACAGCCTTTCAA